GAATGCATTTGTGTGAAGGCATCGCTGGAGTGAACAACTTTGGTGTCGGAGGAGTGAACGCCAATTGTCTTCTCGAACCTAATTATAAGGTTTGCGATGAGAATAGCCTTAAGATCGCCGACACTATCCCCAGGATTGTTAACATCTGTTGTCGAACTGAGGAAGCGTTGAATAATGTATTCAATTTCATTGAGAATAATCCACAGAAAATTACTCGAGATTTTCTGGCCTTAATGGCCGAAACTATGCGCGTCGAGCCATCGCTTAATTCAAGTGGATTTCCATATAGAGGTACAGACTGTACAATGCAGTACACTGTTAGAGAGTTATGTTGCCCATGATGTATACACTTTCTTTCACAACGCGAATGCTTCATAACGCGAATGGTGTGTTGACACTTTCCGTACTATTTCTACGCTTTAAGTCTACAATAATTTGTACGCAATTGTACAGTACTGACCCAGCCATTCGCGTTATGAATAATTCGCGTTGTGAAAGAAAGTGTAATATACTGTACATTAATTTGTATATTACGTTAATCTAATTTTTGTTATCAATTGTAGGTTCGATGATTATAAAACAATTGGCTGATAATCAATATGAGTATAAGAAACAGTCGGCAGTGTTTACACTCAAAACACAACGACCCGTATATTTCCTGTTCCCCGGTTTGGGCGGACAATGGGTTGGAATGGCTAAGGCTTTGATGCCAATCAAGATATTTGCCGATAAGATCGATGAATGCCATGAAGTACTCAAACCCCACGACATAGACTTAAAACATCTCTTATTATCTGATGACAAAAATTCAATGTCTAATATGACGAACAAATTCTGTGCCACAACTGCTATAGAAATAGCATTATGTGATGTTATCCTCGCTCTCGGTATTACTCCCGACGGTATTATTGGTCACTCTTTCGGCGAAATAGCGGCCGCTTATGCCGACGGATGTCTTGACACACGAGAAGCGATGTTAGTTACCTATTATAGAGGACTTGTGACCGAAAGTGATAAAAAGATACCGAAAGGACTGATGGCTGTCGCGGGTCTGTCTTGGAATGAGGCCAAGAAGTTGTGTCTGAAAGGAGTGAGTCCTGTCTGTAATAACGGAAAGGACACAGTCGTCGTCTCAGGTAATTATATTTACTAAATGTCAAGAAATATTTGTATATTAATTTTTGATCGCATGAAAAGGACTATACAATGAAATGAAGCAAATGATTGAAGATTTGAATAAGAAAGGAGTATTTGTTCGCGAACTCCAGAGCCATGACATCCCATATCATAGCGAATATCTCATTACATCGGCGAAGAAACTGACGGACGAACTGAAACAAGTGGTTCCCAATCCTAAACTACGCTCAAAGAAATTTATTTCAACCGCTGTTATCGATAGTGAGGGCGATATCGCGTTAAAGACCGCGTCGGCCGAGTATTTCGTCCATAATCTCATATCTCCCGTCTATTTCTATAACAAATTCAAACACTTGCCATCGGATGCCCTTATCCTTGAGATCGGACCGCACGGGCTGTTCGGCAAAGTAGTGAAGGAAACACTAGAATCGGGTACTTATGTGTCGCTCATTAAAAAGGACTCAAACGATACAAATCTTGAGATGTTTTTACAATCGATCGCAAAGTTGTATGAATTAGGACTCAATCCTCTAATTGAGAACCTATACCCTCGGGTCGAATGGCCGGTCGCCAGAAGTACTCAATCCATTAGTTCTCTATTGAAATGGGATCACGATTTCAATAATAATGTCCGTAAATATCCCGACTATCACTTCAGATCATACGCTTCTGACATGAATGAAGTTTATAATCCGTCGCAAAGTATTAAAGCGTTTCTTCCCGAGCATTGCATTGACGGCAATGTCTTATATCCGGCCACCGGTTATCTGATGCTCGCCTGGAGACGAATGTCGTGTCAATACGGAAAACTATGGAACCAATTGCCGGCCATCTTCGAGGACGTCCAGTTCCGGAGACCCATATTTTTGTCGGACACCGATATGACTAGAATTAAAGTCAGATATCATGAAACTTCAGGTATTTTTATAAAACTTTCAAATTCTTTTAAATTAAAACAACTATTATTAATAACTAATATTTTGTTTTTAATTATAACTCAAATTTCAGGCGAGTTTACAATCCTAGAGAGCGGTAACGTTGCGTGTGTGGGAAGAGTCCGCACAACCGATGAATACGCTCTGAGTTTGCAAAACGTTTTGGTCGACACCGAAGCCAATATGGATAAGGAGTTTGAAGTGAATCTGACCACAAATGATCTCTATAAAGACCTCAAAGTCTTGGGCTATGATTACGGACCGAAGTTTAGACGCATTCGTTCGGTGAAGACAAACAATTTTGAGACAATTCAGGGAGAGATCAGTTGGGATGGAAATTGGATCACTTTTATGG